TGTTTATTTGCAGCTTCGGCTTGTCCGTTACTTTGCGGGTGGCATACCGCTGAATATGCCAGTCTGATGCCGAACTGATATGTATACCGCTTCAGCGGTAAGTTATCAAATTGCCTCCCATGATCGAAGACAAATACTCTCGGGATGCCAAAGCGAGTGATGACATTCTGCCAGATAAATTTTCTGACAGTTTGCTCTGTAATGTTCGAAGCTGCTTCGGCCTCGATCCATTTACTGAAGTAGTCGACACCAACTATCAACCATTTTTTCTGGTACACAGCCTCTGGAAATGGTCCCAGTATATCCAGTCCCCATTGGGCAAACGGGAGTGGATTAAGGATCGGCTGAAGATCCCTTGCTGGCTGATGGATAACTGGAGCGTATTTTTGACATTTTTCGCATTTCCGAACCAGCTCCTTAGCATCTGCGATCATGGTGGGCCAGTAATATCCAGCCCTCAATGCCTTGTGGGCTAAGGTTCTTCCCCCAATGTGGTTCCCACAGATGCCGAGGTGAATCTCCCGTAGGATATAATCTGCATCTGTTGGTCCCACGCATTTCAGCAATGGGGCTGAGAAGGACTTTTTCAGAAGTTCCCCCCTGAAGACAATGAACCTAGAACTGGTTCTCTTCATCTTGGAGGCCAAAGCTTTATCCTCAGGAGTTTCTCCCCGAAGCTTGAAAGCTAGATGGGGTCCATCCAACTAGGCTCTGGGTCAGCGCAACACACTTCAGGTGCTTCGTCGACACTTCTCTCTCGACGCACTTCTACATATACAGATCTGTTCAGCTCGGTAAAAGATGAACTAGCAAGTTTGGAGAGTGCATCGGCTTGAGTATTCTGACCCCTTGGGATCAGCTGAACCTCAAAAGTTTTCAGCTCTGCAATGACTGATTTGATCTTGGCAAGATAAGCTATCATGGAGGGCTCTTTTGGCCTCGTAGCTGCCACTGATCTGATATGCAACTAGCTGAGAGTCTGTTTTTAAGCAGACATGATCGGCTTCCAAGGAGATGCACAATTTTAGGCCGGCGATTGCTGCCTCATACTCGGCTTCATTGTTCGAGGCCTTAAAGAAAACTTTAGTGCATTACTCAAAGGATTTGCCTTCGGGAGAAGTTATCACTACTCCTGCCCCCGAACCGTTTTCGGTGGAAGACCCATCCGTAAACACGGTCCAGACTTTCTTTTCACTGTCTAGCGCTTCTTGGTATGAGCATTCGGCCAAGAAATCCGCTAGAGCTTGAGCCTTAATGGCAGCCCTCGGACGGTAGCTGATGCTGAATTCGGTGAGCTCAAAAGCCCACTTGGCTAGCCTACCAGATTTTTCAACCTTGCCGAGAACTTTTTCCAACGGCTGATCAGTTAAGACCACTATCTAATGGCAATCAAAATAGGGCCTCAGCTTCCGAGCAGCTACTACTACCGCGAAAGCAACTTTCTCGAGTAGAGGATAGCGAGTCTCGGCATCCGTCAGTGTATGACTGACGAAGTAGATCGGTTGCTGACTCTTACTCTCTTCCTTCAGCAATACTGCGCTGATGGTGGCTGGGCTAACGGCCACATATAGGTATAAAGTTTCTCCTTCAGCTGGGCTAGCCAGCGTTGGGAGTTGAGCCAGATGCTCCCGAAGCTGTTTAAAGGCGTCTTTTTGCTCTTCCTCCCAAACGAGCTCTTTTGTTTTCGGGAGTTTCATGGCTTTGAAGAAAGGTAACCCCTTATCCGAAGCTCTGGAAATGAACCTCGAGAGGGCTGCCATTCTTCCGGTGAGCCGCTGAACATCCCGCTTCGTTTTCGGCTCAGGAAGGTCGAGCGCCGCTTTGACTTTAGAGGGATTGGCATCAATCCCCCTTTTGCTGACCATGAACCCAAGGAATTTCCCTGACTTCACGCCGAAGACACACTTCTTCGGATTCAGCTTCATTTGATGCTTTCTCAAGGTGGCGAAAGTTTCAGCCAGGTCCTTTACATGGTCCTCTAGTTTTTTGCTTTTGACGATCGAATCGTCAACATAGACTTCCATGTTTCGGCCCTTTTGATCGGCGAAAACTTGATCCACCAGCCTTTGATAGGTTGCCCCCGCATTTTTCAATCCGAAGGGCATCATTTTGTAATTGTACACCCCAGCGTTCGTGACGAATGCTGTCTTGGCTCGATCGTCGGGGTGCATAAAGATCTGATGATACCCCGAGAATGCGTCCATGAAGCTAAGCAAGCATGGCCACTTGTCGAATCGACTAGCTGATCGATTCTCGGCAAGGGATAGAAATCCTTTGGACAAGCCTTATTTAGGTCCGTGAAGTCAACGCACATCCTCCAGGTACCATTGGGCTTCTGAACCATCACCACATTTGCCAGCCATTCTGGATATTGGCAAGGTTCAATGAATCCTGCCTCCAATAATTTTTTGACCTCGGCTGCGATGTCTTGGTTCTTATTGGCGGAGTAATTCCGCTTCTTTTGCTTAACTGGTCGACACGTCGGGTCAACATTAAGCTTATGAGAGATGAGGTCTGAACTTATCCCGGGCATATCAGCTGCCGAGAAAGCAAACACATCTCTGTTGTCCCGAAGGAGCTGAATAAGTTCACAACGGGTGTTCGGATCAAGGTCCATCCCAATTGCTACAACATTTCTCACCGTCTCCTTTGGCCAACTCAACTGTTTCAGTCTGTTGGTCCATGTCCATTGCCGATGGACTGGACTCTTCAGAATCTGGCCTGCTGCCAATGTCAGCAGGTGTCCCAGTCTTTTTGTTCTTCGGCTGGCTCTCTGAGTCTTGCGGCTCAGCTGAAGAGCTAGCCTTTTCCCTTTCGGGCCCTTTTTCTCTGGGCACAGATCCTTGGGCCGAAGCACTTAGGCCTTTCGGCTTTTTTGTGCTTGGCTCTCTTTCTTTCTCCTCCTCATCCTTGTCGTCATCTGGGCGACTACTGGATGGCTTGAGGTAGTTGCACCTTCGGGCGTCCTTTTGGTTGCCCTGTATCCTTTCGGGGAAGCCGGCGTCTGAGACGTAAATCATCAGCTGATGATAAGTTGAGACGACCCCTTGGATCTCGTGAATTATGGGTCTCCCCAAAATCACGTTGTACACTGAAGGAGCGTCGATGACCAAAAATTCAATCATGACGTTCCGGGCTGCCTCATCGCAACCGATGGTGACAGGAAGTGTCACCTTCCCATCTGGATAAGTTGAAGCCCCATTGAACCCGGATACCGGATAGGGTACCGGCGTAAGGTGCTTGGGCTTCAGCTTAATTTGATTGTAGGCCTTTCGGAACAGAATGTTTGCTCCACTGCCACCGTCAACAAGGACCTTACTGACGTCGTGGTTGGCCACCGTGGCGATGATCACCAACGGATCCTTGTGAGGGAACGTAATCCCCCGGCAGTCGGCGGCTGTGAACGTCATGTTCGGCACCGGCGACTGGGGAGATTGAATGTCAGCGTTGTTCACCTGGTGAGTCAAAGCTCTAAGGTGGCGCTTGTGCTCCCTCCGAGAGTATATTCCTCCCGAGATAACATTGATCGGAGGAATTTCCCCTCCGGCTTTTTACTGTTTTTCCGGGGGAAATCGAGGTCCTGCCGAGGGTCCTTTGCTGACCTCTCGGATTTTTTTTCTCGCGGTGATCCGCGATGTATTTTTTCAAGTATCCCTTCCGGACCATGTCCTCTATCTGGTCCTTCAGTTGGATACACTCCTCAGTGTTGTGGCCCGAAGACTCATGGAACTCACACCACTGATTTTTATTTTTTCGCTGATACCACTCTGGGAGTGGTCTCGGCTTTCGGTAACTCTGCTCCTCCTTCGTCACACTGTAAATTTTGGCGCGTGGAAGAGAGAGCGGAGTGTAGGACTCGTATCTGCCTGTGTATGAGGCAAATCTTTCCTTCTTTGGGTCGTTGGCCAAAGATTGCTCCGGGGCCTTTGACTTTCCCTTTGCCTTATGGCCTTGGCCTTCAGACAAGGGTATTTGCCTCTGTTTCCCTCCCCCGGATTGAGGTTGGGTTTTCGCTTTGTTCCATTCTTCGGCTCGGATGAACTTATCCGAAGCACTAAGAGCTTCCTCCAAGGTCTGCGGGGTATGCATGACCATGAAGTCTAGGAACTTTCCTGGCTGAAGGCCATTCTGCATTGCGAAAACGGCTAGCCCCTGGTCCAGCTGGGAGACGCTTGATGACTCGTTACTGAAACGGGTCAAGTAGTCTCGGAGGCTTTCGGTTTCCCCCTGTTGCAGACTCATGAGCTCTGCGGTAGTCTTCTCTCGGCGGTTTGCCGTGGAAAACTTGCTCCTGAACTTGGAGGACAGATCATCCCACCCTGTTACGGAGCCTTGCCTTACTCCCTTGGAGATCCACGCTTGCGCGACCCCCTTGAGAGTGGTTGGGAAATATTTGCGGTTCTTAGCCATTGTTGCTAAGATAATTGCAAGATGATCTTGGTTAGGTATTTGGCTTAAAGATTTTTGAAAGTCTTCCCCACAGACGGCGCCAAATTGTTTCGGGTGAAAACAATGGGACCTTGCCGAAGGTCCGCTGAAATGGGGAAGGCTGGATTCGGTCCAAGTTATGTTGGGCCGAAGGTTTCCTGCACAGTAAACACACGTAAACTAGCCTCGGGGGGTGTTGCCGAGGAAGGCCCCCCGATGCTAAAGTCAGTACAATGTGTAAGAAGAAGACACTATGCAAGAGAGTTTGTTGCTTGAGGCTTTTATGGAATATATCAGAATATATGAATGAACATATGAATCTATGAATGAATCAGAATGAATCAGAATGAATCTCCCTTTGAATGTATCAATATGATGGCTTTTATACCTCATCATATATGGAGAGGTTGGGCCTTAGCCCAATTGGCTTGCTTTGTGGGCTGACCTTTGACTTTAGCACAATTGGAGAGTTGAACCTTGACCTTGGGCTTTTAATTGAATCATTTAGTGCTTAGGCCCAATTGGACTAAATTGGACCCAAACAACGAGTATTGTAATTATTATTTGGGCAGGATGAGATATTCAGCTCCTCATTCGCAGCTGCTATGTACTTGAAATCCATACAATTTCCTCCCAATAAAAAGGTCACACCCTATTTCACTATTATTATACGTTTTGTTTCTATTGTTGTATACTCGTATCTAACACCAAGTGTAAATTAAATCATATTATCAGGTTTATGTTATTGGTGGAGAAGGCATTGTAGAGGAGCTGCACCTTGCCGGCTTTACATCCCTTGGTGGCCCTGTATGAATTCCCGTCCATTATCACACGCATACGTATTCTTATGGATTGTACATTGATCTTGCCACAGGAAGATGCTAATAAGAAAATTGAACTCAAACAAAATCTGTTTTTTCACCATGACAAGACTGTAATGTAACTTTATCTTGCCTCTTTAATTATTGTTATTTCAAACACCTTCAATTCTCTTTTTATTTAGTTTTTGTGTTTTGCTCTGATTTGCATTGCAGGTAGGAGCTGTTGTGGTTGGATTGGATCAGTATATTAACTTTTACAAGCTCCAGTAATTTTTCTATGCCTTCTTTTTGCTCTTTATGTCATCATTGCCTTTCTGTTTGATGAATTAGGAACTTGCTTTTATGATCACATACTTATCTACTTTTATGATCACTTCTTCACTTACCCCTTGTTTTAAAGTTGTATACGACCATTAACACATGTTTTTACATAATAATATACTCACTCGTAATATTACTACTACCACACACTGTTCTGACACCCTAGTTTGGTCTAATCGCAAATTACAGCACCTGCAGAAGACACCTATTGTTGGACAAGTTAACTTGTGATCTTTTTTTTTTTAGCCATGCTTATGTTGACTCAAGCAGATCTTGCTATTTGTCTCACAACCTGCTTGCCGTAAATTTTAATTAACCTACTCCTGCAACGGGCGACGTGTACTGTTTTCTATCTGAAGGCTTATTCAACATTTAAAGCATCTCCTCATACTCGATTACAGGTAGAAATGAGGGGGCTCAATGTAATGGTGAAAAGTGCAATTATATCAAAATTTGCTAAGTTCACTGCTTGCTTTTTTCTTATCTTTAATTAGTGCTACTATGCTTGGGATGTACTCCTGATCTCCTTCGCTTCTTCTGTTAATTGACAGGTATGCAACACTTTGCATTCGTGAGAATCCAGGATGCCTATTTATTGCTACCAACCGTGATGCTGTGGGACATATGACTGATTTACAAGAATGGCCCGGTTTTCTTCTTTCCTTGCTATATCTCCTTAAATTTCCCACAAGATTGGAATAATTTTATACAGACTAATTACAAATTATGACATCCAGTCATTTTATTCTTCCTTAATTTTGGGTGGCAGGTGCTGGATGTATGGTTGCTGCTGTATGTGGCACAACTCAGAAAGAGCCCGTTGTGGTCGGAAAGCCATCAACATTCATGATGGACTTCTTATTAAAGAAGTAAGTACATTTTAGATTAGATGCAATAGCTCTGCATAATGTAGACATTACCTCCACTCCTCCAGCCCCTTTCATATAGTCCTCATCAGGCTAGTGGCTTAGTTGTACTGTTGGTAGCATTGTAATATGTATATTAGATTATTTGAATGCTGCGTTTTGTATTCAGATTCAATGTTGACACCTCCAGAATGTGCATGGTGGGTGATAGATTGGATACTGATATTCTATTTGGACAGAGTGCTGGCTGCAAAACACTCCTTGTTCTCTCCGGTATACCAACTACCTGTTTTGATTGCGGAAATTGTATAATGTAAAAATTGTAGAACAAACGAATTTTACATTTGTGGTAATTCCTTATGGCTTATGGCACTATTACTGCAGGTGTGACAACACTGCCTGCTCTTCAGGACTCAGCAAACAACATCGTGCCAGATTACTACACAGACAAGGTGTCTGACTTGCTACAACTATTGGGACCGTAATTATGTTACATTTCAGTGACCAGTGGACCTACACCTCCCAGCCCATGAAGCCACTTCCTTCTGTGTTAACATGTCAATCCATGTCCCAGTTGTTAGTCTTGCTACTGGAACTCTATCAAACTAGGTTTACCAAAATGTGCGGTAAGCCACAATATTATTTAGCCTGAAAGTATGGCGTATTTTTCTGTTGTATTTTAACCAGGCCATTTGCTTTACCCCTTCTACTCTTCCTTGATATTTGGAAAATAAATTGGTGACACTGTGATGGAGTATTGACTATCTCTTGATTGCTCCATTAGCATTTGGATTAATCTGGGTCCTAATTGTCTACTCCAATGTGATGATATCTTTCGACCTTTATTTCTTCTTTAAAGCCATAAAAATCCTCTCTTCATTCTATTACTATGATTATTTCTTCTTTAGGCACATACAAGCTAGAATGAATTTTGCTTTTGGATTTGCACCCCAAGTAGGATATTAGAGCTTTCAAGGGGTGTATTTGCTTCAACTTTTTAAAGTTTATTTTAAATAAGTTTTTACTGATCAAATTCATTAAGTTCCAATTACTAGACCCTTTTGGGTAATGTCAGGTTAGAATCAACAAGGATAGGTTGGGACTATGGGCTATACACAAGTTGATTGGGGCCAAATTAGCTTGGGAAGGGTTGAGTGGTTCACGATTTGAAAATCAGGTTTGGAACTTTCCCTTGTATGTTTTGAAAGAATGTGCAATAAGTCTATTGTGACCATAGGCCCATTTACGCTACAAACTTCATTTCTTGCTAAAAACCTAGGTCCAAACACTCCCACTTTCTTTCTTAATTTCGCTCCCAATAGACATTTTTTTAAAATAAAAAATTGACGAAAAATTTAATTCTTTCATTTCCTCTTTCAATTGCTGAACTACACATTCCCCTTCCTTTGCAAATTGACGAACCGACATGGAAGAAAAACAAGAAAATAGTGCAAAAAGGTAAATTAAATTTGAACACTTACTAAAAAAATTTGAACACTTAGTAAAAAAATTTGAACACCTTACAAAAAATGAACCTTTAGTAAAAAAGTATAAACACGTCACAAAAAATGAACATAAACATCCAATTTTATATGTTCATATTTTATAAGGAAATGTTCATTTTATATGCAGTAAACGTTCAGTTTATATTACAAAACTATTGAATTATTACGAGTCAGACAAGCTTCTTTCAAAAAATTGATGTTTATTATATAGTGTTGTATTTAATATACTACATGTTCAAAATTTGTGATTGTTCAGATTTTTTACTAAATGTTCAAAAGTATAGGAGTGGTACATTGCGATTGTTCAGATATTTTTACTAAATGTTCAAAATTTGCGATGTTCAGATTTTTTACTAAATGTTCAAAATTTGCAATTATTCATATCTTTTTACTAAATATTCAAAAGTATAGGCTTGGTGTCCATAGAAGAATTTGCGAAGAATGTGTACCTAGGAAGTAGGTTTGTGACTATTCACAAATTGGGTTTAGGTTTGGGTTGGGTTGAGTTCATGGCTGGTGGTTTCATAGTGTCTTGGGCCAAAATTATGGCATGTGGCCCACCCACCATGGAAGTCGGGTTAATATTGGCTCTTACTGGGTTGGACCTTAGACATATCAGGAATAAAAGCATTAACCATGGCAGAATTCAGCGGCACAGCAGTATGAATTTTGGAATCAGCCATAATATGAATATATAAACAATATTCAACTTTAGAATGTTGGAAAATTAAGGCTAATAACGAAATAAAACTTATCTCAAAGCAAAGAGAATTGTCGTGGCGTGACAGAAATCACTGCCCTAAAGTCGAATTTGCCCTGCACTCGTACACACGGACTCACGACAATTGACCCCAGGGTTACACGACTTCATCCGAACTGTGTACTCCGTAAGGATGAATTGAGAACTCAATAATACAATGCCCAAATAGTGTTTTGAATATTTTTTTGAGAGAGATGAGAAAAACAGTGAGGAAGTCGGTTTTTTCTGTGTTCTCAAATACTGAAACAATCCCGTATTTAGAGTGAGAAGAGCCGAATAATCAAGGGAGAAAATCTCGGTAATTAGTCAAAGAAAACGGTAAAATGAAGAGATAATTTTGGGGAAGGTAATCAGTCAAATAATTGATTGGCATAATTACGGAGTAAATCAAGGGTTAAATATTTGACTGAATCCAAGTAATAACAGTTACAATATCAACGATGATATTGTGACCGTTATTTGAAAGTTTACATAAAATATTAGAATTATGTGTAAAATCCGGCCACACCCACACCCGCGCACGTGTCACAAACACGAACCGGGCCGGGTGGCGGCGCGCGAGGGGATACCCATATCTAGCCCACACAAGTTACTCAAGTATAAATATGAGTGATGAAATATATAAAGAGGGTAAAACCTTTACCTCACCAACGTGGGAATTTGTTCTTTTATTTTGAAGCAACCAAGGAGACTATTCAACATTATCTCCAACAAAAACTGCAATGGATTATAATATTGAAGGTGGTTCTGTTCTTCATCTTGTTCTTGCGCTTAGAGGTGGTGCTTTAATTGATTAATTGTTTAGGGTTTTAATGATGTTATTGTGGTGGAATACTGTTGAGAATTCTGAAAATTTTATCTGTTAATCGTTTAATGTGTTAATTTTGATAGGGTTTTGTTCGATTTTGCTTGTTTGATTGTTCATAGTTGATGTTTGATTGCATTAATTTTTCTAATTTGGTGTGATCTTGATGTTAATTGGGATTGAAATTGTGTTCTAAATTTGTTAATGGTAATGAATAAGGCGATGCTTAATGTATTCTCTTAGTCCATCGGTAGACCTCAAGAAGTCAAGAAGTTCTTAGACTTGTTAATGGTAACAAATAAGGCGATGCTTGAGGTATTCTCTTAGTCCATCTGATAAAGCTCAAGAAGTTCTTAGACTTGTTAATAGTAACGAATAAGGCAATGCTTAATGTATTCTCTTAGTCCATCTGATAGACCTTAGGAAGTTCTTGGACTTGTTAATGGGTAACGAATAGGACGATGCTTATTTATTCTCTTAGTCCATCTGATAGACCTTTAATTGTTACGGTGGTTCGTCGATGGTGGCGGATATATAGGCTTATAGGAATCCAACCTAAGCTTGAATGCTTGATGTTTGTGCTTTTGGTATACCAGTTCTTACTGCCCTGATTACGGTGGTTTTAATTGAGACTGCTAAACTTGGAGAATCATAGATATGGTGAAATATGGGGTTTGTCTAGAAAGGGAGTGATTACTTATATGGTTAATATCGATCTTGTGTGATTGATAATGCCACAAGGCGAAACCGGACAATTATTGAAAGTTGTAAGGTCAATATGAAATACTGTAAGGACGGATGGTTGATTTAGTTGTGTTCCTTACATAACAGTTTTAATATATGTTCCAAGTCAAATAAAGTCAACTGTAACCAATTTAGAACACATAAAGCAAAATTTTAATTTAGTGTCAGAGAGAAAGCTGTCCTAATTTGTTTTGTATCTTTCCTTAAAAGAAAGCAAATATTTAGAACTACTTTTCTAAATATTACTGCCGTACAAAAAATAAAAATAAAAATAAAAATTTTACAGTATTTTATATACGTAGTACTTCGTCTTAGCTCTTCAAACATGTTCTACATAATATTGTTAACCATTTTGCATCAAAAAAATATTGTTAAAACGTTATATTATGAAAATACATATTGGAACGTCTCTACCATGATCTGATATGATAAAAAATAAAATTCTAGTTTCATTCCATTGAGGATTATGTTGATACACCATGCATGGGAATTCGCATTTGGCAAAGGTTTAACGGCTCAGTATTGACAAGAACCTACCAACTTTTATGCGCTAAACTATATAAGCCATTTATAAGAAAATGGGGTGCATACAATACAGGAAAATAAACCACTAATTCAGCCCATACATTCAATAGGACTTTTTCCGGCCTTTAATTACTCCCACCCCCAAACAAAACTGACATCACATCACGATGCAAAAACGGATCGAATGATCACGTCAAAAACAATGCGATTTGTCAACTTAGGTTTCCCACATAGCAAACATCCATAAGAAATCCAATAAGCAAGTAAAGTTTCTACCTATAGCGAGCTATGGCATATGCAAAACCAGTAGCAAGCTTTGGTTCATGTTAAACCAACCAGAATCATAAAGTGTGATCAATCTGCTAATAATGTTATCGGTATCTATAGCGATCCCTGTCTCTGCTGTAATCTCGGTCCCTGTCATTATCATAATCTCTGTCCCGATAGTCCCTTCCTCTATCCCTCTCTTTGCTTCTGCTTCGGTGCCGATCCCTGCTATCACGCTCTCTGCTCCTATTGTCTCTGTCGTCATAATCTCTCCCCCTATCTCTGCTCCTTTCACGGTCTCTGTCAGCTACACCTGAATCCAAATTAGATTTTCAATTTCGTCAATTACATTGAAGTAAACAATATTGAAATCAAGGAGAAGAAATTCAGCACAAGTTTACAGGAAAAATTGTATATAAGTTCATGTCAAAGACTGTACGACGAGCAAATTTCATTAATCTTGCGGGCCACCACATATGATGCAACCATCACAA